GTGTGTGTGTGTGTGTGTGTGTGTGTGTGTGTGTGTGTGTGTGTATACTATACAACAACCACGTACGCATGCACGCACAGACGAACAAACGAAGGAGCTGTTGTATGTAAACGAAGGAGCTATGTACCGAGAAGGCAAAATGTCACATAGAAAGCGATATATTGTTTACATATGCCGCATGTACAATGATGAATCTATAGTATATGTAGCTTGGCGGTGAGGCGGCCATCATAATGACCTTATTGCCGTGTTGAAACACTAGTGCGGTTCGAAATATGGTTATAGCGTGAGACGCCTGTTCGTCCTATAACAAAAGCAGCATTCAGTTAGAAATTTTGGTCTGCCATGTAAAATCACCAAATTGCCTTCTATTTATATAAACACCGTTTGAATGTTCTGTTGAGTAGTCACTTTACTCATTAACGACGAGGTAATTACTAAACGGGAAATTGAGTCAATTACATGTAATTGTATTTCGTTAATTATCTATCACTCATTATGACGTGCATTGGCTGCGTTAGCTTTATCTTTGCTTGCGACAGATATAGCCATGGCTTATACTCCATTGTTAAAAATAATATTAGAGTGAAGCACGAGATAAATAGAATTGATACGCCAATTTGTATACAAGTATTATTAACGGGGCAATTGCACTTAAGGCGCATTGTGACCATATCTATATAATAATTACCATTGGCTAAACAGCAACCGCGCAAAATAACAATCATGCATTATCGCTACATAAAATTGCATTCGTGTATTGCTAACAGGCATTCGATCGCATGAGCGCGCCTGTCGGCCATTTGCATATACAACGATACGCACACAATGGTATGCAATGGTGCGAGCTTCGTTTCGTTGCTGCAATAGTTATATACGGTCGCCAACACGTTCCGCTGGATTGTGACGCGATAAATGCACGCGCAGATTTTACAAACTAAATAGAGGGCGTTTGCAAATAAAATAATCGTGTCAATAGCGTTGAAGAAGCATTTATCACATCTGCACTGTCGGATAACCCGGGCAGATTGGGATTCCGCGCTCTCCGAGTAGTTTTTGTTCGGTGGAGGCGGAGCAGCGATCTTATATATCACACAAGGCGCGCGTAGGGTGAGCCGTACGTAAGCAGACTACCGATATCCCTCCTTGCACTCCTCCTCCTCCTCCTTTCTCTCTCTCTCTCTCTCTCTCTCTCTCTCTCTCTCTCTCGCTCCTCTCTCTTTCTCTCCCACTTGCTCTCGCTTCGTTTCCTTAATATCCACTTTGACTCGCCCACACATTTTTCTCGGCCGTTAACGCCTTTACGTTTACCTTGCCCTTTGTTGCCACTCTGCTCTCCCTATCTACATGACTCCGTCCTCAACCACCCTCTCGTTTCCTCAGTCACCCTTGTCTCACTCCTCACTCCTCCTTTCTCACCCTCAAACAACTCACTCGCCCTTTAGTCCCTACCTCCCTGCACGTGTCATCTCTATTTCTTTCTTCCTTTCTTTTTTGTTGTCACATATATCTTAATCTAGCACTACGCGTGTCTGACTCTCTGTCATGCTTTTAACTATGTGCACTATTATATGTCCGGTGTATTTGTACGTAGCCGTTTCTTAGCCACGCAGATGTATTTCCCGTCTTCCTGTAGTTTCGTAACAACATTGTGCACGTACTTGTCCAGCTAGCCGACCATGACATAGCTACGGCATTTCTACTGGCGCACACTCATGTAGCGAAACAACGTGTGCCTGCAGACGGCAAATGCCAAATATTCACTAACCCGTTTTTCGCACTGTTTTACGCGAATTTCGAGCGCACCCGTTAGTGCGTGTTCAGCGGAAAATTTTAATTACGTCGCTGATACAACGAAGATACGTCGCTGATACAACGAAGATACGTCGCGGGAAGTCTCCTAGCTTCCCGATATTCGGTGCCGATATTCTCGCAGTTCAGAGCGTTATTATTTAATATTGGTCGCGGAATTTAATACTCCCATTGTGGCGCGCGCTAGGCAAACTGATGGCTGATTCAATAAACGTGATGTCATGTAATCATGGAGCCGAAATTCAATAAAGTTGCTGTTTACATGGGTTCGGGCTTTCATCAGACTCGCCTCCATTATGATGGTAATCGCTCTAATTCATTTATATGCTATTCAGACGGTAATGAGCGTCCCTTTACATTTAAATTAGCCAGCATTATCGGCGCTATCATCCAAACAATCAGTACCACGAGACGGCCGTCTGTCCATGGAAGCGTTCCACTCCGAAAAGCCGAGAAATTATTTGAGAACCTTTTTCGTTTTTAGGTAAAAATTCAAATATTTTAGAGACAATATATGCGCGAATATATTAGTCGTTTATTTACCGAGTAAAAAGCCCTGTGGTGTAGAGGCGCGTGAATAAAGTGTCGTATAATATCTCGCCAGAACAGGACGTACGGAAAAATATAAAAAGGAATGTTGATATACGACGCAAAGGACGAGAAAAGCGCTCGGACAGTGTTGGCAAAATATAGAAAGGAAGTAGTCATATACCGATAGATATAATTCGCAGGATATAATTAATTTCTTGGTTGGAACTGAGAGATACAATGAGAGAAATGGCGGAATAGAGAAGGAAAACAGAAATGTTGATAAACTGTCCCGTCGTAAATTACTGAAAGTATAAAGTTACTAACACAGTATCGTTCGTAATTTTAGTACATTCGGATTTTTTTGGCTCAGCTACCTTTATAGGTCATTGTCACATTTTAATGTCATCGAGTGATACGCTGGTCGAATACACGTAGGGTAGTGCAGCGGATCAACGTCACATTGAGAGGGTACAGGCCTCCTCTTCGCATATGTCTTAGGTTAAAAACACGAGCCGGGAAGATTAGGAAAACAGCGAGCAATCGGCAAAATACGCCGATGTCAATGCCCTCATCGGTGCCCCTGTTGAAACGATACGTGCAGCACAGACTCGGTGCAACACCGACGACGCCAAAACAAGCGGGACTGATAGCTCTTTAATTTAATATTGAACCAACATAAGAAATCGAAAGCGATTAGACATACGTCTACGTCAACACGTGCTACGTTCTATCGGATGCTACCGGCGCTATCGCTGATAGACATTCAAATACTCTAAACCGCCATCAGTGGCACAGCATTATAGCTCGATGAATAGACATTTCAGGCGGATTTCTAGAAGGCGTACAATTAGCACGGGCTGCGCCCGTGATTCGCACGCAACAACGGCGTTTTCTTTTCGCATCCGGAACACAATCGCCGCATCTCGGCGGTAGGTTTGATATCGCGGATAGATAATACGACACAGCGATACAGCGGGAAA